CGGGGAGTTTAAAAGACGCAAACGGCTCTGAATAAACACTGGGCCTCATCAGATCTTAAATGTTCTTGCGAGTGTTTGCAACCTCTGCAAAATGAACCGTGACTGGGACACTTGAGCACCCCCTGAACCCAGAAAGAAGCCGCGCGATCGCAGCATGCACCCCCACAAAGGAAACGCAGATTTCAAAGAGCCCCGCCAGCATAGGTTCTTCCCAGGGGGAAACAACAGCGCAGTCCCTCTGCCTCAGGAACACTATCCCAAGACTTTTCACACTCACAGGCCAGATGGCCAGGAGGAAGAGACACGCTCCAGCTGGCAGACTGTCTGACCAGGGTGAGAGACGGCAAGGAGAAACCCTGACCAAGTACAGGCTCAGTGACCACACCACGCCCTGCACACTGCACCTGCTCAAACATGTATCTCCTAGTTTATCTACCAAGAGGGTAAAACATAACCAAGGCTGCTGGTGCCACAACAGAACAAAGACAGAGAAACTGGACGCAGACACTCCTGGCTGTCCAGAGAGGACAGGCTCAGTGACTACCACAGCCTGGCCAAAGACACTGGACACAGACAGACCTGGCTGTCCAGAGAGGACAGGCTCACTGACCACAGCCTGGACAGAGCAACTGGACACAGACAGACCTGGCTGTCCAGAGAGGACAGGCTCAGTGACCACAGCCTGGCCATAGAAAACTGGACACAGACCTGGCTGTCCAGAGAGGACAGGCTGGGTTCCCACTGCCAGCAGGGAGAAGCAGAGACAGAGATACACTTTCTATTTCACTGGTAGAACTACTCTGGAATTAGACATTCTTCCCCAAAAATAACCAATCTAATCCCAGAATTCCCACACCTGCCACAATCACAACAACTTCCAGCCCTACTGGGGAGGAAACTCAGCAGAGTGGGTGAGCTCCTGTCATGAGGAGCATTAGGAGCAGACAGTGAGCCGCCCAAGTAATAATGTTGTAAATGACTAGCTAACTGTTACTGCAACACTATGATTCACTAGTCACGCCAATAAAGCTCACTGAATTTGAGGTGTGAGGTGTAGAGGTTTAACACCACTCCTTGGACAGGAATGTGCCTCAAGAACAAACCAGCACTGTCACACACACACTCAACCGAAACGCACTATGACACAGAAGACACACCCCACCTCTGAATGTTAAGCACGCAACACCAGGGAGCCCTCAAACAAAACCAGTCTCTACACACTGGGGAGTTTCTGATCAACCCAGTAATTTGATCGATCAAGGGGTTTAACGATCGGCAAATGACTAACTGCCTAACTGACCACTATGACACTGATCCTCAGACTGGTAACTGCTGACCCAGCAGGACTGACCAAGCCTGCCGGACAGGGGTCAAGGCCTCGGTCCGGGGGCGAGACTCCCAACAGGACACCAGGAGCGAGAGAGCCGCGCTCTTGCACAGCTCCCTGAGCTCCAGCCTGCGGCACAGGTCCAGACCGCCATGCCACCCCGCCCGCTGTCCTGACACCAGCCTCACACACACACTCCCGGCAGGTGTGCGCAGGATCGACGCCCACAGTCTGCAGCGTTTCGCAACCTTCACCTCCACTCGGGGACGGTGGTCCGGACCCCCCCAGGAGCTCAGGAGCTCTGTGGGGGACGAAGCTCTCTGCCCCTCAATCTGTTCTGTATGTCTCTGACAATCTGCACTGCCATTAGCGGGGTCTCTGAGCACAGTCCTGCCCTTCCTGCCACTCTCCCAGCTGGGAGGCTCCCCTGGAGGTCTCCCACACAGGCCGTGTACCGTACCCCACTTTTGGTACAAATAGGGGATATGAAACTCCAGGGCATTTTTTTTTTTGGCGAGTCTTTGCCGTCACTCGAACCTGAAGTTAAAATAAATCTAAGTCGCTGGAATCATACATCACTGCAGGTCTGCACTTCTTCACCCAGGCCCCTGGTTCGAATATTCACACCAGTTACATCCTGCAAGCCACTGGAAGCCACTCAAGACGGCTGCGTCCACGTGTGGAACGGGTATCCAGGGTTGGCTCAGAGTGCCCTTCATGATGGTCATCTAATGAGGAGATCAATCTGTCTCAAAGGAGCTGAATCTCTTTAGTCTCGGGAGGTGAGCTCGTAGCCGGAACCAGGAGGCACCTCTCTACACAGAGAGCAGCGGCTGCTGGGAACGGCCGGTCAGCTGGGGGCGCTCGGTCACCTCCAAGCCCCCTCACGCACGTGGGGGGTCGCTCGCGCTCAGAGTCCGTTTGTGCTGTCCGGACCCATCCCAAAGTGCCAAACGCCGGGAGCCCCTGAAGACCCCGGGAGTCTGCGGAATGAGCTCCGAACCAGCCAGATCAGGGCTGTTCTCCACACCGGCTCCTCATTCCAGCTGGCGGCTTCCCCCTGTGCACACCACCCCAGGCCGCTGGCGGTTGCTTCAGGTCCAGCACCTCGAAGGGCCGATACAGACCAGAGCTCGCTATGAAACGTCGCTGCGCCCCTGTGGCAGCACAGGGCCGGTGACCGAAGCAGGGAGGCTGTCCAAACAGGTCTGCAATTCACAGCTGCTTAAAAGCCTCCCGCCTCCCCCTGTCCTGCTGTTCCAGCTCGTGCTATTAGCACGAGGTGTACGTCTCAAGACTGATGTTTTTGGGGGGAACATCAGAACTGGCTGTGCGCACAGACACGCTCCCCTCCCTGCTCTCAAACTTGGGGCCCCATCTAAACTGCTTCTGCCGACAGAGCGTCTATATCTGGCCCTGTACGCAGATCAAGCCCAGGACCAATCAGAGGAGTCTGTGTGTGCACCTGCTCTCCGTGCTTGGACTTTGTCCTCCAGTCTGTAACTCACAGAAGTCACTTCCTCATGCTGAGGCAGAGTCGACTTTCATGTCTGGGTTGTTTTCTCTTTTGCGCTCACACCTTTTTAAAGACAGTGGTTTCGGCGTGCCTGCTATTGAAAGGTAACAGTTTTCTCCACGCCCAGCGAGGGACCCACCCCTAACGACAGGTTCCCAGCATGCCGTTTCCTGCTTGTTTTGGTTTTCACAGCCTCAGCGGCTGGACGAGATCGGGCTCGGGCTCAGACTGGACACACCCGAGCTCGCGGGACGTCCCAGCCCGGGGAGCCACAAAGGAACGAGTCCGGCAGCAGCTGCCCCGTTTTCAGACACCCCTGACCTCATCGACGGGCCTCCTGCGCCAGCGTCTGAGTCAGGCCCTGCTCCGAGACCCAGTGCCAGCGCTGGCGGCCAGGAGCTGGGAGACCACGCTCTCACGCAGCTCGGCACCTTTCAAAAACCCGAAATAAGGGAGCCCCCGCACTGCCCCTGCACCCCGAGAGCTGTCCACCGCAGAGCTCGGCCGGCTCTCTCCAGGGACTGTCCCCTCCTCAGCCGACACCCCCGGAGACCCCCCCCAGAGACGCCCCCTCTTTGTGTAGTGCTCGGCGCAGGCGTGTTTTCCTTTTTCGACTCGGAAGATTGAGGCCAACAGCCCCCCCCCCATCTCCCCCAGTCGCTGCCCGGGTCCGTTGCC